CCTCCTTCTTCGGAATTGGGTCACCACGCTGCGGTGTGGATTGAACAGCTTCCTTCTTCAGAAGTGGGTCGCCACGCTGCAGTGTAGGTTGAACATCCGCCTTCTTCAGAATCTGGTCGAAACCTTGCCACTCCCAGGACACCACCATACAGGAAGCTTCCCAACGACCTCTACCAACATGAATACTGGACTTCGAGTGATCCCCACCCTCTAGATTTGCAAAGATTGGTCGCACGCAGTTTCTTTGGACGACCGGATCTGCCGTATGGCTAGCTTAGCCTTGCTGTCATGTAGGTATGGAAAGTCGGAAGACAAGTCTATCGCTTTGGGTAAAGGACTCGCTCGCATGGGGGGTTCTGGGGTCCGTGTCTTAATGTTTGAGCTGAGCAGAATCTAAGAAGCAACTGGACACCCCTCGTGGAGAGTGGATTCTTGCCAGACTTGGAATGTCGTCCGGGCACGTCCCTGAGCAACCATCTCAGAAACTGGAGCGCGGCCAGAACCGCCAAGCACTCCGAGAAATGCACACCGCCAAAGCACAGGGAAGAAGCCAACACCCAGATTCCAAAACGAGGAGGAGGAGGAGAGGAGGAGGCGGATCGCTTGTAACATCTAGAGACCCTCAGCTGACATGGTGGAGGACTCTTCGGAATCGTTTCTGTATATATATATATAATTATATGTACCCTGAAAGTCAAAGACTAATGTTTGAAATGCTCTTCGGATGACCCGAAAAGGAATTTCATCTACTGGGGTGGTGCCACAAATCGTCGAACTGGACTTCTAGGGTGTACCATTTGTGGACCACGGTTCAAGTTCAAAGGCACGGATGACCGATGTCGGTGACCAACGACGTGGTCGTGGTGGAAAAAAAAGAGGCTCCCGAAAAAAGGGTCACCTGTTCTAGGAGCAATGCTGGGAGTACGGGAGTACTGTTTTGGGCTTCCTGTTTGGTGTCGGTGATGGTCGGTGGTCGGTCCAGTGGAAGTTTCAAGCTGAACTCTGTGAGAACAGGGCCCACGAAAAGCATGTTTAAGAGTACCAGCGACCCGCTGATCGGCGCGTCACGGTGAGTTTTCTCAGGGTGACGAAAACAGAATCACACGAGTCCGACACCACAAGTGATGGCTTTGTAGTGATGGTCTTGCAGCCAGCTGTCCAACTCAAGAAGACAAGCTAGGAAAGACTTCATGTCGCAATCACTTCCCTCTTGCAATCTTCAAGGTCTTTCCACTGGTCAGAGATATGCAGGCAAAGGAGATTTGAAAGGTAACAGGCAGTGTTGGATGGTCATGTGGCTATGTGGTGAGACACTTACTGGCCCATGATCATGACCATCCCATCACAAAGTGAATGCATTGACATGTCTTGCAGTACCAACAGTACAACCATTACCTGCTTCACCAGATTGCCCGTAGCCAAGTTCCAGCTACGAGATAAGGAAGGGAATGAAAAGAGAGGCTCGCAGCCTGTCAGGAGCAACATTCAGACTCGCCTGGGTCACCTTAGTCCACCTTGTGCCTCAATGGTCGAGCGGTCCAAGTCCACACGAACCACGGCAGGGACGGTGCAGACACCGTCGACCGGTCGAACCCGGTCGCGCCGTTGGTTGGGCTTTCTTCACCGAAGCGCCATTCTTCCCCAAGTCATTTCGTTCTCAGATCCAAGTCATTTCGTGTGTCTTTCTGATGTACTGGGTTCCTAACATGGATGGCACCACCTGTTGGTGGATTTGGTCTTCCGAACTCGGGGCCAGGCCATCCACGTCACCATGTTAGGGACCCAGGCAGTGTATACCAGGCAGTCTCCTGTCGGGGTGCCCTGTGAAGCCTTTTTCGGCCGGTAGTGTGGGGTAGTCCAGCCAGGACACCCATTGGATGACCCTGGTCTGTGTGTGTGTTTTCTCCTTCTCCTGTCGGGGTTCCCCCACCGACCCCGCCATCCTAGCGGCATCCGTCAGGATCACGGTCTAAAGGATGCCGCTCTCGAAAGCCATTCGTCTGGCAAGAGTGCACCTGAGCGGTCCCATGGGTCCCATGGGTCATGGGTCATGGGTCGACTCCTAAGGAACACCATCATAACCCCACCCATTTTGCACATCCTCTGAAAGGCCTTGGGCCATGCCCATATCCTCAAGAGTCTACATGACCTGATGTTCTTATGTGTTCTTGAATACAACAGGAATGTCCATCAAAGGAAAGAAGTGGTCCTCTAAAGAACATGCTGTTCTTTCTGTACTACTTTCTCTTCTTCCAGCCAACGCCTTCTTCCACCTCGCCTTCCAGTTTGCGAACTTCACCAGTTTGCGCCTTCGCCGAACTTAAGCGCGCCGTCGAAGTCGAATTCTCAGGTCTGAACGAAGAGTTGAAGAAGCTTGATCGCCGGCACCCCACTTTTGTTCGGGTCATATCCTTGACGAGTGAGGAGCGGTGGGGCTTGGGGCGGATGGGGCGAACGAAGGTGAACCAAGCCAACCGAGACCACCACCGCACAGTTGACCGGTCTAAGCCAGGGGTGACCATCGACATCATCAACCTTGCGCAACCACCAAAAGTTGGCAGAATCATTATCTCCTGCTGCCTCCATGTGTTCACTCCTCTTGCACCCCCAAGAAGTATGATTTTCAGGTTTCTCTTTAAGGACCAAGTGACGGAAGCGCATGCAGGTCAGCCAGCGTTGTTCCTGGCGAGGTAAGGCTTGTCTCCCAACTCTTTCTCCCACACAACTTGAGGCCAACGCTAACGGTATCTGCGATGTGGACTGGCCTCAGTTCCCTATCAGTTCCCACTCCAGGGAACCTCTGAGATGCTGAGGCCATCGGCGGCCATCTGGCTGGGTGCCTTCTGCTGCTACTGCAGTGCGTCCCGATGCCCAAATCGACCCCGACCGCCTCGTTCAGCTGGGCGAAGAGATCCCGGACCTCCTTCAGCGGCATCTTGTGATGCTCGGCGAAGGCAGCCTTGGGAAAGCGGAACTCAGCCCTCCATCTGGAGAAGACTCCTGTTTCTACCTCAACTGACCAGATCGATCGATCTGATCTTGGTGGTTCTCAAGGATGTTCCGCACGTGGTCCTGTTTGGAAGGGCTTCCCCCTGGTCCATCCTCCTTCCACCCAAATCCCGAGTCATTTTCGACCGCTTTCCACTGCCAAAGCCAGTTTTTCATTGGAAAATGTCTTTAAAACATCCACAGCCGGTTGTGGCGCTTCCTTCCACCGAAACATACCCCCTGCCATGTGGTCAGGGGTGGTCATCTACCCGGGAATAATTCATACTATCGTCATTAAAGGCAAGGTGTAAACAAAACACAAAACTACCCAATGCAAAATACAGACATCCAGTCCTTTTGGAAGTCAGAACCCCCAAAAAGCTCTCGCATGCTCGCTCCGCTCCTACCATCAAAAAGCACTCCTTCTTTTCGGCTCTGTTTTCGCCCCTTTTGCCACCTGGGAGCCATCACGCGCTCGCTCTGCTCGCTCAGCTCGACGACGGTTCCGACGACGGTTCCGCCCGAGCTCGCCGCGGAGCGACCTTGGAGCTCGGCCGGGACGTCGTCCCTCCGGGCGTCCGAGGAAGAACGGGCGTTCGGTGCGAAGTGCTTGAAAGAAGGGACATAGCGAGTCTGGCAAAAAAAGAACAGAAGCTGAATGCCCACAAAAACGGAAGCTGAATCATGGTGACCTTTTTTGGGAGAGGTTGGGGCATTGCAATTGTTCGGATGAGAGCGGCTTCCCCAACCCAAGTGAGGCAAAATGAGGTCATCGGGTGTGTATTTCATGGGGGAGATCCTCAAAAGGACTGTCCTTGGTCTAGTCTAGGTCCCCGTCTTTCAACCCGCAATCCACGGCTCGGGGGAGGGGCGCCGGCGCCGGCGCGCGCACGCGGACTGAGGACGGAAACCCTCCGGATCTGGAGGTGGAGGCTCGGAACACGCGCTCGTCCTCGTCCTCGCTCCGAACGGCGGCCGCGGGCTTGCAGCGATGATGGTGGATGGAGGTGTTCTGGCCGAATCGGTCGCGAGGAGTTCGGCCGATGCCAGAGTTTCAGGCCTTTCTGTAACTGTAAATGGTTCGGAGCTGTCTCTTTTCTTGGAGCCCAAGTAGTGACCGCGCGGCAGTGTGTTTAGGGCTTGTGGATTTAAGTGATGGTCAGGAGAAAACCCAGTGTTTCCATGTTCACCCCCAAGTGGAGAAGAAAAACTGAATTCCCTGCCAGAGCTGGCACCACATCGACCCCAAGAACCCCCACATCACACGTCCACATGTCCGGTCCCACATTGCCGGACCTTTCTCCACTGATCTCGTCCGGATCCACATCGGCAGGGTTTTCGAATGCCTCGGCTGCGACTGAATTCGGTGTGAGCCTATCTGGGGAAGCCGAAGCAACGGATCTCCAGCGACTCTGGGGATCCAAAGCAAAAGAATCTGGCTGTTCCACCAAGCAGCCCAAGACTTCCCAAAACACTGCCAGATTTCTGGGGTCCAGACAATTGGTCACCGGTGTTCTTCTCTTTCTTGGGGGGGAGGAAACGCGCAAAAAAAAAAGAACTTCCGATTTAAAAAAAATAAAAGAAAAACAACAAAAAAACTGTCCAATCGCGAAAAATACCATCGCCTTCGGCACCATCCTCTGCTTGCAGTCCTTCTTCTTGTGAGCCTTCATCGCCTTTTGCACGAGCTCCCCACCTAGGTCGTCCGGCTCGCTCGGTCATGTGCGGAGCGGTCCGCGGTGGGAACCGGTGGCCGGAAACGAACTTGGTCAGATCCCAGGTGATTGGGGGATTTGAAGAATGATGTTTGGTACAGTAAAGTGGTTGATGATTTGTTGTTTCGTGATGTTCCATGACCATCGTCGCGCAAAAAGGAGGAGCATGGTCCTAAAGACATCTAGCTAACACAACTGAACAAGAACCACAAACGAGTGACTGGCATAGACACACAATGTTGAAAGTTGCCACAGCCACTTTAGACTCACTTGCACCTACACGACACACCTTGAGGAATAGACTTATGCAAAACTCAGCCGAACTCTGGGGCAAGTTGCGGGGGAACTGGGAGCTCAAGTTCAGAACCGTCACTTGAACCAAGAGTGGTGGAAGGGAATTGGACAGTACGGAAACGCACCTTCTTTCATGTTATCATGTTATCATGTTTGTTTGTCTGTGGCAGTGACAAAGATCTGCCCACCGGCTCTGTTGGAAGATTGCCTTGTATTTCTACCATACGTCAGTAGAAAGGAAATGAGAATGAAGTTCCTTCGATACATCGTTCACGAAAACCCATCAAACGACAGATCTTTCGCAGAAGCTCGGATCTTTCGCAGATGCTTTGGGCAGCAAGTATCTCCCTTTAAAAAAAAAAAAAAGTAGAAAAATGTAGGAAAACAAAACGATCCTTTCGTCCAGTGTTCTACTCGTTCGATCAAAACCCCTGGGACTGTCCATCCTTTTATGGATCAACCTCAGCAGTCGCGTCTCCAGCACGCCGGCCGACGGCATCCGTGCCTTCGCTCTCTCGGTCGGCCCAGCGAAGACGGAAGCGACAACAGCGAAGACACGTTTGGCCACATGACCCTTTTTGGCTTGGCCACGGTTGATTACTGTCAAGTACGAGTATGTGTGTGTGTTCCTGCAAGGTCGGAACGGTAGCGGGCTATTCGATCAGATTCTCTGTGGGTGACAAGTGCACATGCAAATTCCGACCACCTCTCGGCACCTCTCAGCACCCTGCATCATCTAAAGCAAGGAGCATTGTGGACATATCTGCGCCTGAGCACCTTGCTCCTCGCCAGACATGGTCTTCATTCTTTTCTTCGGCGCGGGGCGAGAAAACTGCAAAGGTGGGCCACCAGCTGATGTACATGTCAATGGTTGTCTCTCTAATCATTGAACATGCTTGAAAACAGCAGCACACTGTGACTGATGTTCATGTAAGCTGTAAGCTATCCAACTGCTGCTGCGATCGGACCTGTCATGAGCCATGACCAGGGCGACTGGGCGACTGTGATCTCTCAAGTTACTCAAACATGGCGCCTGAAAATCGCTGTGAGTGAAGCATGAGAAACGCAGCATGAGAAACAGCATGAGAAACGCAGGCATGAGTAGAAAACACTCTCAGCCCAGGAAAGCCCAGGAGTGGTGTTTTCAACTCCTTTTTCTTCAACCAATCCGATGGCAGAAACGGCTTCACCTGGTTGAGGAAAGGCCAAAGGTACTCTATTGAGGAAACATGGGCAAGCTTGGGTAGCCTTGCTTGAAGCCGAGTCCAAGCAAAAACACACAATGCAAGCCACAAGAACATCAGTTCTGGTTTGCTTGAAGCGCTTAATTACTTAGGTCGCTGCCCAGGTGTTTGCCTTGTGACGGCCCCTTGCTTCAGGAAGATTAAAACCGAGAGAGGGAGAGACCTTTTCTCTCAATGCCGGCGGTGAGGCTTGGAAGGTGGGCGGTGGTGCTTTGGGTGCTTGGGAAGTGGGGTTTTCGCGAGGTGGTGGTGGAAGTGGTGGCGGTGGAACATTGCAGTGGCTTGAACAATTGATTTCCTCATGGTGAAAATCTCCTTGATACCAAGGCAGTCGCAGTTACTGGGAGACAAGTGACAGGTTCCGCAGCTAGAAATAAAAGATTAAGGTCCATGTTCAGCTACTATGTTGCCCCACGGACCAACTGATCAGTCTGTACCACATGCCGACTGCCTGAAGCAAACACATATCACCATCCCACGAAAAGGCCCAGTGCACTCGCATGCCTTTTCCATGTACTGCGCAGGCACACTGCACAGCGACATCTAAAGTCTAAAGTTTCATGAGACTCACTCAGCTGGAAGTTCCCCAAAAGCCTCTGCACATACAAGTCTTCACATAGTTTCTCAACTGAGCAGCAGCAGTCCATTGCGTCGAGTTGCCGTTGAAGCGAAATCGCTTCATCACCACTTCCGCTTGTTCATCTGTGAGGCGCTGAAAGTTCTCCGACACTTCACTTAAGGAGATCTCCCACTGCTGAGCAAACGCCTGACGGGTCCGGCGGAAAATGGGTCCTTGGTCAGTTTGTTGCTGGGTTGTTTGGTTCGCTTGCTCATTCCTTGGTTGGCATTTGTAGCAAGAAGCTACTAGGTGGAGGCCATTGCTATTAGGTTGGAGGCCATTACTACTAGTAACAAGAAGCTACTAGTAGTAAGATTGTGTGCCTGCTTGGCCCCAAAACTTGAAGCACACCTGGCTAGCCCAACAGCCCATCCGGGCTTCTGCCCGCCTGCCAGGTCACGTAACGCTGCAAGGTCTGCATGCGCTTCTCAGTACCATCTTGAGAGCAACAAAAGTACTCCTTCATGACCATCTGCTGCTGCTGCGGATGGCTGACCGTTTCCAGGATCTGTCGCACCTGGCGATGGAAGTCAAGGGGTGCATAAAACTCAGAGCTGGCTGAAGTGCCACCTCATATTCCAAAACCATCTGGTGGTCATGGTGGTGAAAAGCAGAGTATTCTGGTTGACTGACATGGTGTCAGTCAACCTACCAGGGTGTTGGGGGGGCCTCGAACCCATCCCCATCTGTTCAGAAAAGTACGAATCTTCAAGAAGGTCTCAGCTCCAAAGCATCGTGTCGTGATCGTTTCACGCACCTGATGAAATGGCATCTTCCACTCGGCCGCAAACTCCGCGAGAGCATCTGTGGGATGGTGTTTCTGGAAGCCCTTTCGGCGACACGACTCCACGTAGCTTCGCAGCAGTGGCTCCGGCCGCTTGCCCATCTGCTTGTCCATGCTGAAGCGTCGCAAGATCATGTCCACCTCTCACAACTCTCGTAGAAGAAAAGGCTCAACCGGCGACTAGAACGGCTAAAATGGGTGGATTGCTCTCTTTGTGTTTATAAACACATATGACATATACAGAGCAAAAAGGTTAGGATGGAACTAGAAACCAAAGTGATGTTCACACTACAAAGAGCCCTAATTGAGCCTTTTTTTCCCTATCTGGAGGTCAAAAGAAAAAGTAGCATTCTATGGGCTGCAGCTCTTGTGTACCCAAAACAATGAACGGATCCTTCGATCCTCTTTAACGACGTCCACCTCTTCTGGTGTCAATCCGTGCAGGATCTCCTCTGTTTCGTCCCACCGGAGCTTCCAATGTTCAATAAACTGAGAGATGGTGTCGCTTCCATCGCCGGTGTGGTGCACATCGCTGTGAACAGCCACATCCGTGTCGCACGGAGAACTGAAGCAATGGTCATTCCATCGATCATCACCGCCAGAAGTTTCTTCATCCTCATCTTCGCGATCCCAGGGCTTCAATTGGATGCAGTTCGCGTCGTAATTGCGCCAGGGATCATCATCACAAACTTCTGCTGCTTGAAACCCAGCCTCTGACAGCAAAGGATTTTTGCCCTCAGAAACATCCTCAAGCCTATAGGACTCACCATGACGATTCCCTTGGAAAAGCAATCTTTGGACTTTGCACTTTCGGTACAACAAAGAAACGTTTTAACAAACTAGAGCTTGACTTTAGGCAGAAGAGAAGCTTCGTGTGCGTTCAGTACACGTGCATTAGGGGGCTCTTGCATTGAATCATCTTCTCTGGAAGAGACTGGCTCTGTTTGACGCTGATTCCCCCAACGACTTCTTCGTTGTGGCCCTTCGCGCTCCGCGAGCTGCAACACTTGCAGGGTGCGGTCTTGCTCCTGACGACGTTCCGTTTCCCGACTGAGCCTCGGCTGAAGCTGTAATCTACACAAGTCGAAGTTGTTTGAACTCCAAATATTCTTGGCAAACAATTGGTCCAAGAGCGCCCAATGCTGTTCTTCGCAGTGTTCTGAAACTTACAATCATTTGAAGCACGGACGGAAAATGTCTAAGCTGGTCGAGCATCTGGTCCTTCAACGCCCTCTCCCTCTTTTCAGCAGCTTCCGCCTCTTCTAACCAATGTTGCTCCGATTCTTTCAACTTCAAAACCTCCTGCTGCAACTCTGTTATCTTCTCCAATGCTGCCTGTAAAGATCTTTCCATCTGTTCCTTCTCTTTCTCCACCACCTCCACCCGTGCTTTCAACTCCACAGCCAAATCACTCAATGCAGGAGGCGCCGGCACCACCGGTGGTCGCGCCACCTCCCTCGAGGCCGGCGGCGCCGGCACCGGCGGCGGAACCCGCCGGTCCGGCGGCCGCGAGCGGCCCCGCGCCGCGTGCGCGGAGGCCGCGCGGGTGGCAGCTAGAGGTGGTCGGGAGGCGTTTGGCTGTGAGGCTTGGAAGGTGGACGGTGGTGCTTTGGGTGCTTTGGCTGCTTGGACGTTGGGCACGGTGCTTCGGTTTTCAGGAGGTGGAGGTGGAGATGGTGGTCGTGGTGGAACATTGCACTGGCTCGAAGGATGTGAAGCACCTCAAGGGAAGCGGAAGCATGTTGACATGCTTGGTGTGTTCGACAAACGGACTGACCAATGAAATTCATTTCTGCAATTCCATGAAGTGCCAAGTTTGATCCTAACAGAAAAGTGGATAGTGTGGGATTCATGGATCTCTCCACTGGTTAATCTCCAGGGACACCTTTGCTGCTTCCACTCACACCCCAAGTCACACCTGGTAGAATTCGACCCCGCTGCAGTGCAGGTTGAACATCTGCCTTCTTCAGAATTTGGTCGAAACCTTGCCACTCACAAGGCACCAAGGATGTCATCCCACACAGGAAACTCCCATCAACGGCCTAACGACCTCTACCAACATGAGGACTCTTACGAGCTATCTATGTTTGATTCTTGTTGGACCGCTTGCCAGACACCATAGAAGCCGACATGAGGTCGTTTTTCAAACCAAAAACTCCTCATTTTCCTTTCCATCTTTGGAAGAGGTGTACCAGGTAGGTGGGTTGCCAAACCTGAACAGGTCCACAGAAAGCATGTGAAAAATGGCACCAACGACCTGCTGAGAAACTCCGTTTTTCGGTGATTTCAGGGTGACTCACAGAATCACGACACGACAAGTGTTGACTTGGGCGCTAGATGGGTTAGAACAGCCAACTACATTAAGTCCAACTCAAGAACACAAGCTTTTTAACAGGGCCCATGATCATGCCGATGTCGTGTCTCAAGATTTTTCTTTGGACATGCCTGCTTCAAGATCTTTCCACTGGCCAGCCATACATAGACAAAAGGAAATCCTCTGCAAGCTCTCCTGTTCCTAATGTCTCGCTAGCTCATTGGCCCAACAAGCTGAGGAGTCCTGGGGGTGGGTGCGTTGCGTGATATTGGCCAATGGTCACTCATGAAAGAGAGATAGAGTTTGCCAAGCAGGGCAGACCCGGCCACTTGACTTCGCCTGCGGCAACACCCTCAAACCAAAACACCCCGCGGCCACTCGTTCGGAGTTCTGTTCCAAAAGGACTCGGATTGGCACCCCCTTTCTGCAAACTGGAGGCATCCATCGGGGTCGCGGTCCAACGAATGCCTCTCTCGAAAGCCATTGGTCTTGCAGGAATTCACCTCAGCCCATCTAAGAGCCCAGCGCGAGCTCAGTTCCGTCACGTTCTTCGGAGCGAGTTCCGTCACGGTCAGTCACGGCAATCGTCCGCTGTCCGCTTCGCCCTTTTGGGGCGTCACATGTCATGTCACAGCATGTCGCGGCGAGTCCTGGCAAAGTAAAAGCAGAAAATGAGGAGAAAGATGAATGATGAAATACTAAGACATACAAGAAGAACTACTAAGACCTACTATAATGATGAATGACTACTAAGAAGAACGTTCGGACAATCTCCGGTCTACTTCTGTCTCTTCGTCCAACTGCTCGGCGCCCGTTTTGGACGGTCGCCCTTGAGGTCCCGGCGAAGATCTGGAGAAGCTTGATCGGCGGCACTCCGCTCTTGTTGGGGTCGTGTCCTTGGTCTGGTTTGCGCAGTCTGCACGATCTGCGGTGAGATGACAGATCGAGACTACCACCCCACAGTTGACCATGACCATCGACATCATCAACCTTGCAAAAGCACCAAAAGTTGGCAGAATCATCTCCTGCTGCCTCCATGTGTTCACTCCTCTTGCACCCCCAAGAAGTGTGATTTTCAGGTTCCTCTTTAAGGACCAAGTGACGGAAGCGCATGCAGGTCAGCCAGCGTTGTTCCTGGCGAGGTGTTTTAACATTGTGGCAGCATAGACCCCCAACAGGTTCAGCCGGATTCTTTGCGTCAATTCCTTGAATTCCAATGTGGGTGGAAACGTCTCCTATAGCCTCCAGCTGCTTGGGAACAGCATGCAAACAAAAATGAGTTGTCATTCAGAGCCAATAAAACAAGCCCGAAAAGTGAATGAAGAAAGGGAGAACAGCGCGGCCAAGCAGGTAAAGAGGCCCGGACAGTGGTCACAGGGCCGGAAGGGTCCGCGCCGAGGCCAAGAGGCGGAGAAGACAAGGCCCGGACAAGGCAGTGAAGCTCTCCCCAACACAGCCATAGCTCTGAGATGCGGAAAGATGGCACAAAAGGGATCTGTCGAACCCACCTCGGTGAGCTGCGCGAAGAGCTGCCGGACCTCCTTCAGCGGCATCTGGTGGTGGTCTGCGAACGCAGCCTTTGGGACGGCAAGGTTTCGGCCCAACCGAGAAACCGAGAACAAAAAACCACACCACTGGCCATGTCGTTCTTTGAATCTCGAATCTTATGATTTTGGAGTGACCATACAGTTTGGAAGAGTTCCGCCTCTCTTTACTTCACCCTCCGACCATCCACGCAACTTCCTGTCGGCCAGAAACCAGCTGAAATCGGAAAAAGGTGCCTTAAACATCCACACCCAGTTGCTGCTTATCCTTTTTACCAAAAAAACTCATGGCATGAGGCTGTGCGCCATGTGCAGCCCCGGAGCCACCACGCGATCGCTCTCCGCGGATACGGGGACTGCGACCACGCTCGCTACGTTGCTTGCAGCGCTGGAGCTCGTGGTGTCATTCGCGTCGTTGCAAGGGCCTTGGGGTGTCTGGGGATTTCACAACAAGTCAATGTAGTGTGCCCTCAATAAATATCCCGGCAAGAGACCCCAAACAGAGTGAAGTGAAAAGGGTGAATAAGCGAACTTCCGCACTCTCACGCATCAGAGCACACATATCAGAGCACGCATAAAGCGTACGTGCATAAGAGAGAGCACGTCTATGAGAGCACTCACGTGAGAGGAAACACATGAGAGCACACGAATGAGTGCACAAATATCGCGAGAGCACACATGTGAGAGCACACGCGCGAACACATGAGAACACACATATATGACAGCAAACACGCAAGAGCACACATGAGAGCCACACTGCACAAATAGGAGAGGAGCAAAACCATGAGATTCACAAGTTCCGTATCCTTTACAAAGTGTGGCGCCTGCTGCGAAATCTGCATCTCGAGGTTCACAATTCTGCGCCTGCCACCAAATCGGCATTTCGAAGTTCACAAAGTGCTGCGCCTGCCACGAAATCTGCGCAAGGAGGTTCACAAAGGGTTGCCCCTGGCACAAAATTTGCAGTTTGAGGTTTACAAAGCGCTGCAGTTGACAGTGAGCTGCACTTGCCACGATGTCTGCACTTTGAGGATCACAAAGCGCTGCCCTACACAACGAGCGGGGCTTGCAAACACACGCGTGCACACTAGATCTAAGGTAGCTCTCACTAATTTTGACCAACTGGAGGGTCCAAGAAAACAAGGTTGCCCCAGCCCGATAGATCGCCTGCGACAGCACAGGCCCACCCTTACCACTGCCACGAAATCTGCACGTCGAAGTTCTCCAAGTGCTGCGCCTGCCACAGCAAACCGCTGTGCTTGCCACGATATCTGCACATCAAGATTCATCGCACAGCCTTGTCAGCGCGCTTCGCAACAAAGCGCTTAAGTTCACTTGCCAAACTTGCCAAAACGAAGCTTTCGCACGATACATCAACTCCAAAGTCACCCACAGGTCCAAAGCCCACGACTCACTGCACCGGCCACGAACTCCTTTTCAGGCTCGCGGCGCTTGCGCAGGCAGTCAAAAGAACAAAGAACGGCCCTTGACTGCTCAAGGTTGTTGGATGTTAGAATAGGGTCCTCTCCTCCCCCTTCCCCCTTCCTCTCCTCTCTTCTCCTCGCCTCAGCAACTGCCAGCTCCAGACCGCAGTGGGCCTTACCGGACCTCAACAGCAAGCTCCACACTACCGGACCTCAAGAGCAAGCTCCAGATTGCGGGGGCCACTCCCGGGCCTCAAACTTTTCCATCGTGAGATCTCCAGGAAGCTGTCCGACTCACGCGATGGGCATGCATACATCCAAATTCAAATACATCCAAAGGGTTGTCTTCCCTACCCTGGCCTCCGTGAGATCTCCATTTGGGCTCTGGAGCCTTCCTGCTTTACAGTCTCGTAACCTGAGCCGTGGGCGCTGTCTGCCTCTCACTATTTTGGTTGGGGCAGCTGCACCAAGGTGCGCCCATCCACTTGCCCCCAAAGCGCCCTAGTTCGAAGACAATGGGCGTGCACCTTGGGCGTCCGTCCGCTTCTCCAGGCTCGGTGCTTCCACGCCCGTGCCACGCAGGGTCGCCTCGTTGCGCCACTCTTCCATGCCACTCTCGGGGCCTAACAGGTGCGGACCCTTCACATCACACATGTAGACAATGTAGACATGATTTCCATACCCACGGTCGCGCATCGGCGCGCTGCGCTTTTGCTTGGACCCGGGCCTCCGTAGCCACTAGAAATATGCTAGGCTTCAGGAAGCAACAGGCATGGTGTGTCCAGGTGTGGCCTGCGCCGGGTCTTGTCTTACGACCTTACCATCCGTTATCGACAAGAGGGGCCCCAGGAGCTTCAAAGCAATTATGCAACCCATCCTTGCAAACTTGCTCGGCAAACCTGCAGAAAATCGAACTATTTTTGAGTTTTCGCGCGCCGGCTTCAAGTCGACCTCAGACCCTCACCTGCCACGAAAAGTGCCCACTAAGCCGGAAAATGCGCACGGCACCATCACGAGAGCGCAGTCGAGGAAGCACCCGCTCGCACCCACCAATTTGGAGCTTGCGCAGTCAAAGTGCACTTCAAAGATCTCATTGAGAGGCATGTGCTTTAACTGGCAGCACACTTGCCGCCCACAGATGTGAGCACACTCGATCAAACCCAGCCCCAACCGCCGTAAGAACCCTGGTGTGTCCACACTGTTTGGGGAAGAAGAGACTGGCCAAAAGGGAACCTCTTGAAGAATGAGCTGCGTGAAAGGGATCTTCTCGGGAAGTCAGGGATTCAGGCAACTGTTCAGATCAGAGCAGCTGTGAGGCAAGATGATGTGAGACTTCGGGGGGTGAACTTATGCAAGATCTGAGGCTCACACCTTCGCTCTGCAGACCTGCAGGCAGCTCTGGACGCCAAGTGTCGCCTCCTCGTCGAGCCGTCTAGCGGTCTAGCGGGTGGCTTTTCTTCCAATCAGATTGTGGTCTGATCGTGATGGGTCACTGGGAGGTGATGGGTCCAATTGCTTTGCCCCTCTCCACATCCAAAGGAACACTATCGCCCCTCTCCGCCCAAGTCCCTCGGCTCGAATTCCCAGTGTGTTCGTGGTGGACTCGGTGGTTCTCATCGCTACACTCCTGGGCCACGACTCATGGGACTCATGGGCCAGGAGGGCCAACGTTGGCCCCCGAAATTCTATCCTTTTCCTCGGATGACCATGTTCAATCAGACCAAAAGAGGTGATGGTGCCATCCACGTTGGCTCATGATGATGTGGAAGGTCGTGTGGCTTCGATGGAGGCACTCCATCCCTGGACCCTCTCCCCCTACGCTCCTAATAGCCTCACGGCTTCTGGCCAGTGCAGCTCATGAGGCGTCTGGCACGGGCATCATACAAGGCTGTAGTACAAACAATGAATCGTACTTTATGTCAATGGCTGTGTACTGCACAAGGGGAGAAACACCCAAACACCCAAACACTCCACAGCCCAACGAGCTGCGGCCTGCTGCTGTTTGGCGCTGCTTTGGTTTAGCTTTCCCCTTCTTACAAGTCGTCTTTGGAGGGATCAAGACAAACTAACTCCCTCTCCATCTAAAGACAAACTCACCACAGGCTAATAGGCCAATCCCGCGGCTAATCCCGCGGCTAATCCCGCGGCTCACCTCTCCCTAGAGACGACGTCTGTCAAGGGAGGTAGCTATCAAGTCTTTCTTTGACCAACCTGCTTTGGCCCATCCGTAGCCTTTGATTGTCATCAAGCAGATACAAGTCTAAAATTAATACGAGTAGTTGCTGCTAGCTTTGCCCCACCTTTCCTCTTCAACCAACACCAGGCACCGCCATGGCTCTTCACCACGTCTGCGCCGCTCGACCGCCGACCGGACCGGCGCCTGGCCCACCTGCAGTGGATCGATGGTCTCGTTGGAGCGAATGGACACGTAGCGTCCTGCCGCTGGGGGGGTTCAACCAACCAACCAACCAGCCAGCCAACCAACCAATTGCCTGGGAGGTCACCGGTGTCCCCACCATTGGGCGCGAGGCAAGAGCAAACCTGGATCAAAGAACTTGAACTTTCAGAGAAGCACCCCATGGTTTGGTCGGTTCTCTCGTTCGAGTTCTCGATTTACGGTATCGTATGTGCTTCTTTCCGTGTGGAGAACAACAAGAAATGCTCAGTGTTCGGGCTTCTGCCGGTTTCTGCCCATCCTGTCAAGGACCCCTGTTTTTGCGCGGGCATGTTCAACTTGGCAGTCTTCAACACCCTTCATGACAGGATCTCAAGATGTCTACAAGGTGTGTGTGTGTGTGTCCACACCTGCTTCAAAGGAATTTCAGATGACTATGCCCAACGAAGCTAGTCTGAGTATGGGATGCCGGGATTGGCAATCCTGGCGTACCTGCCAACTTTTAACCCAAGGCAGCATTCAGTCGTCGGCAATTCAAACACCATTGTTCCAACACCTTCAAATCTGCTGACTTATCGCCTTTCGGTTTGCACTCCTTTTCAGTCAAGGTCTACGTACTGCACGTAAAGTGGGGCTTCACTCTGATCCTAGCTCTTGCGAGCAACCATCTAAGTGTGTACTCGCCACAGAGTCCCACTGAGGGCTGTGGTGTGATGCCCGTCGAGGGGCGCCGCATGCGCATAGACCCAGATCCTGGGGGATTATTCCACCTTGGCTTTTCGTTTGATTGCTTTCGGCTTGACTGTCTTTGCTCGACATACCACTGATACTCACTGAGACTCAAACTCCAATCCGGATTTCGCACTTTCATGCATGCATGTGTCTAAGTATTCACCTGTACAGTCTGCAACAGGCGGGGCTTAAGACTCAGGCATGTCAACGCATGCATCACTCGGCTTGCCGCTAGGCAACCACAGACTGTTTCTTAGTTGCATGTGCTTTTCATGCTCTTGGGTTCTTTCTCTCTTTCTGTTGCTTTTCGTTTCTTGAAGCCTTTCTTTAGGTTTCAGGTGCCTTTCAGACAAGGGTGCGCCGGCCCCAAATCGGCTTTACTTGACCGTCGGTGATGACAATGCCTCCGGGCCACCCTAACCCACCCTCCTCCCCCTCCCTCCCTGCCCTTGGCCTCTGTTGCTATCCCACCCGCTATCTGGGTTATAGAAGGAAATCGCACTCAACACACTTGTGTGTTGGTGCCTTTCCTTCTATTTCTCCTGTCCTACTTCTAGCTACCCGGGCGGTATAAGACAAAAGTCCCGCTCGCTAACTTCTGCACGTATTGTAACTAACAGACCTCATAACTAGTGGGCCTCGTAACTACGCCTATCTTTCTCCCCTGCCCTCTTCGGTTTCTCTTTCTGTCTTGTCTTTTCTTTTCTTGCTAAGGCTTGTTAGGTGACTACTAAAACTTTCTGAGCGCCGAAATCGGCCTGGTGTGTGCATAAGTCCACACCTGTTTCAAAGAAGTGTTTAAACAGGCGGGAGCGGCTAAGTAATCAGTAAGTAAAGGAGGTTCGTAACTATCCTATCTTTCTCTCCTGCCCTCTTCGGTTTTCTTTCTGTCTTGTTTTTCTTTGTCTTGCTAAGGCTTGTTCGGTGACTACTAAACTTCCTGAGCGCCGATAGCGGCCTGGTGTGTGTGTCCACACCTGCTTCAAAGGAATTTCAACAAGGCAGGGGGGCGTAGCGTGTTCAGATGACTACGCCCAACGAATCTAGTCTGAACACGGGATGCCGGGATTGGCAATCCTGGCGTACCTGCCAACTTTTAACCCAAGGCAGCATTCAGTCGTCGGCAATTCAAACACCATTGTTCCAACACCTTCAAATCTGCTGACTTATCGCCTTTCGGTTTGCACTCCTTTTCAATCAAGGTCTACTGCACGTAAAGTGGGACTTCACTCTGATCCTAGCTCTTGCGAGCAACCATCTAAGTGTGTAGACAGCTTCCAATGCGAAAAAATAGAGACAGATCCTCCACTTCAAACCTTCCGTGACCCGAATCCGGACCTCTTGGGCTGGCCGGACGGGAGAGGGGAGAGGGAAGACAGCCCCAAGAGGAACCGAGGTGTCCATTCGCAAACAGGCGGAAGGGCGGGAAGCGTGAGTCACTTGTGTCCCCAGCAGCCCAGCTCTGTGTGGCGCTTTTTGTGGCTCTGTGTCCTTCGCATTCGGTGGTGAAGCACTGGGCTAGCTTGGACTTGAGGTCTTCATGGTGCTTCACACGTACCTGCCAGGCTTCCACATGTGGATTCGACATGTTTTTGCAACATGGGGAAGGGAAGGAGGACGCCAAAGTCAACAAGTCTTTGGCCACTTGGGTATTCAATGATCTTCATCTTGCAAAAAAATAGAGGATAGAAACATGATAAAAGGTTGGCTCCATGACTTTCTTCAATCAGATGGGACGTGCCCGCCGGGGCCGGGGCCCGGCCGGCCTTGATCAAACCAAAGCGCTCGGTCGCGAACAAAGCCAGGAGCCGGTACATGCACAAGCGCCGGTTAAAGGTGCCTCAGCACAGGAACCGATCAAAACGGTGGCGCCGGCGTATGTAAGAGAAGGAAGATGACCGGATTCTTACAACTGGGCATGCTGCAAAGGGCTGCAAATCTTCTTCGTCTTATTAAGATACACACTTGACACTTGATCCTCCAAATACTGGAGATGAGGAGAAGTTTCACCTCTCAAAGCCTCAAAGCGTCTTACTTGGTAACAAGCAAATCCACTCTTCTTTCAGCACGACCCCAAACACCTCCCAATCCTGCGTGCCGTGCAGAAAAAGCCGGCCCCCCCCCCAAAAAGACGCCACCCAGTGTTGATTCTCGCAATCTCGCTTTTTCAATCGCTGTTCCTGCGCGACTCGCTCTTTTTCGCGCTCCTCCCACCTGCCACGTACAACTGGTTCTTGTACCACATCACCTCCAACAGCTCCAAGGCCTTGGGCTCCTCCCCACCGAGTCTCCACGGGGCTCCCGGGCCAACGACCGAGGTCGCGAAACGAGGCAGGTCACGTCGACCAGAGGGTGGTCGATGCTACGAAGCAACGAAGGTCGAACCGGTTTCCGGAAAGAATCGAAAGACCTACATCGCGGGCCGGACTCGAATGGTCGCGCCGTGCACTGCGTTTTCAGTGCCGGTTTGGGCAGTCATCGAGCCTAAAACGCCGACCGAAGAGAGGGTCATGAGCGTCGATGTGTGGTTCTGTGTTCTTCGTCCGATTCTCGTCTTCGCGTGGTCTTAATGACGAGAAGGTGGATCCGTAGCTTCCCTTGTCCCCTCCACGTGTTCAGTCCATTGGACTCCAATCATTGCCCGAGCTTCCCAAGGAATCGGTGAATTATACCGGCATAGACCCCAGATAGCACTTCAAGAAAAGTTGGACACCATGGCAAGAGCGGGAGACAAGCTTGGGAGACATCCCACTCAAAGCCGGGGAAAGGATGGAAAAGGTAAACAAGACCTAGATCATCTTAAAACAGCATCCGCGTCAAAGGCAGGCAAAAAATTACAAGGCGGCAGCGGCAGCCAAGAGCGAAATCAAGAACAGACACAAGCTTGGGAAACACAACAGCAGCGGCAGCCAAGAGCGAAATCATGAAGGGAGACAAGCTTGAGAGACAAGGCGGCAGCGGCAGCCAAAAGCGAAATCATGAAGGGAGAGAAGCTTGGGAGACAAGGCGGCAGCGGCAGCCAAGAGCGAAATCAGGAAGGGAGACCAGCTTGGGCGACAAGCTGGCAGCGGCAGCCAAGAGCGAAATCATGAAGGAAGACAAGCTTGGGAAACAAGGCGCCAGCCGCAGCCAAGAGCGAAGTTATGAAGGGAGACAAGCTTGGGGAGACAAGGCGGCAGCGGCAGCCAAAACCGAAATCATGAGAGACAAGGCGGCAGCGGCAGCCAAAAGCGAAACAATGAAGGGAGACAAGCTTGGGAGACAAGCCGGCAGCGGCAGCCAAGAGCGAAATCATGAAGGGAGACAAGCTTGGGAGACAAGCCGGCAGCGGCAGCCAAGAGCGAAATCACGAAAGAAAAAGTTTGGGAGACCAGGCGACAGCGGCAGCCAAGAGCGAAGTCATGAAGGGAGACAATCTTGAGAAACAAGACGGCAGCGGCAGCCAAGAGCGAAATCATGAAGGGAGACAAGCTTGGGAGACAAGCCGGCAGCAGCAGCCAAAAGCGAAGTCATGAAAGGAGACAAGGAAACAAGATGGCAGCGGCAGCCAAGAGCGAAATCATGAAGGGAGACAAGCTTGGGAGACAAGCCGGCAGCGGCAGCTAAAAGCGAAATCATGAAGGGAGACAAGCTTGGGAAACAAGGCGGCAGCGGCAGCCAATTTCCGCAATCCGGAACCCATCCATTGAGAAGTAAGAACCCCTATAGCTTCCAGCTATCTGGGGAAAAAAGCACGTCACACCTGTCCTGCCATCCCCTGAAATTAGCAGATCCATCCGATCCCCTCGCGGGATTAATCCGATGCCGGCTCGAGCCGAGAGCGTCCTGGGCGGTGTCGAGGAGTTCTTGGGCGCTGGATAAGATCTTCAACTGCTCCCTCTCCTTGATCTCCACACCATCCTGCCGCGGCATCTCGTGTCGCAGTCGCTGCATCCGGTTTTTGGACACCGAGGGTCGTCCTTCTTTTGTTTTCGGAGCCTCGATGAGCTGGGAGATTTGGAGCTACCAGCTACAAGTGATGCGGAGATTGGATTCGACTTTTGTTTGGGAGTAAGTAAGTTGATAGAAGTAAGATAAAGTTATAAGTTGCCATATAGTCACGGACGGCCAGTAGGCAGGGATTTTTCTGCTTACTACTGTCCTCCGGGGGGTATATTTGAGCATTTTCCCTAGGTTTATATATAGAGGGGTATGTGGAGACCACAGTAGTAAGCAGAAAAATATCACCGACCAAAACGATGCCGGCACATCATGGTTCCTTTGTCCCCTTTCCTTCTCTCTCTCTCTCTCACACTTCCCCCGTCCAATTTGGATGCATTCTTGCGGTGATTGTGCTTTACTGCATGTATATATATATATAGTTATGAATGAGGACAGGAAGGTGAGGAAGGAGATGGCAGCGAGGGAGGTAGAGGATGCTTGCGGTGGTGAGGTAGGTGGAACGTTGAAGCAAAGGTGCTAGGTGGCCTTAGTGGAGCTTATATAGGAGAGACTGCGGGTTTGCTAAGAGCATAGCTGCTTGAGCGTTGGCGCCTTAGCTAAGTGCGTAGCTGCATGTGCGTTGGCACGTTGGGGTTAGGGGAATGCCTTGGAAATTGCTGTGGAACCATAGCTTTTGAAGCCGTGCCCCTGCAATGAGGAACCATTTGTGGAACGGACTGCAGTAAGCATTTACCAATCTGCTTACTACTGATAGCTGTAGTGAAGAGAAAGCACCAAGTATCAATGTTGGATAACAATTCCTACAAGAACATACTGTACACAATGACCTAGTTGTGGAAATTGCTGGAGCAGATATAGAAGGATGTAGGAAGAGGGGGAAGAGGGGGAGCTATTTTGTAGAATGGGGGGCAGTGAGCATAAGCCAATCTGCTTACTACTGCTGTCCGCAGTGTACCCACCAAAACGACAGGAATACCGTAACTTATATAATACCCGAAGCAGTAGTCTACCTCGCCTCAACCGTTGGAAACAAGTTCCACTGGAATAATGTTCTAGTTGTGGACAATTGTAAGGGAGAGAAAGACACGGAAGGACACGGGAAGCGGGGAGAAGGGAAGCGGCAAATTGAAAAGTGAAAAGAGTGCATGGAAGGCATATTGCGGTGCTGTTTATTTGTGGAGCGCGAGCCCGGAGCAGTAAGCAGAATCTGATCTGCTTACTACTGTGTCCCCAACAAAGGTTTATGATACACCCTGATCCTCTAACAGGCCACCTGAACCGTTGGAAACAAAATCCTTCAACCATAGCGGCCAGAAATCTATTTCCATCGGTTCAGGCAGGAATAGACAGGGAAAGTAATGGGGGGCAAAGGAATAAGGCCTGCGCATGTCCCTGCAGCCAAGCTTCCCTTAACGGAGCGGCCACCGGTCCCACAGGAGCGCCGGCCAATAAGGGAACCCTGGTGCCGTGAGAGACGGGAGGCTCGAAGACTCCAAGAGGTACATGGTGGGAGCGGGGGCTGGAACGGCCGAAGTCGTGGGTGACCGGTCCGAAGAGTCGAACGGACTCCCCCCGTTCGGGTCCCACCCCGCGGTCTCGGAGGAGCGCCGGGAAGAGACACAGAGACAGGGGGAGAGGAGAACAAGTGAACCAAAAGTAGCTAGTTAATTTTTAATTCTTAGTTATTTTCCTGGTCTAATTCCTTCAGTTCCTGTCTTCCATTGATATTTCAAGATTTTTGAGGCAACTTCTTAAAAGTTAGGATTTTGGGAAAAATTGTGAAAAATCAATATTTTCAGATAGTTTGCTGGTCGAATTCCTTTTTTTCCTGGCGTTCCTTGATGGCTTAAGGATGTTAAAGAAGTTTTTGAAATTTTCGATCTGTTTCAGGAAAGTTGTGAACATTGATAATTTTGATGATTTTAAGGAAGAATTAAAGGAATCGGATGGAAACGGGTGCACATATTCATCTTAAAGAGCTTTTAATGAAGATATATAGTAAATTTTGAGGAAATCGCATGATCAGCATCATTGGCATTATCGGCATCAAGGGTTCCACTGGGATAACATGACAAACAGCAGCAGTAAGCAGATTCGAATCTGCTTACTGCAGTTGTTTCTTGTCCTACCTTAGCTCAAGGACGCGTCAACATTCTTCATATGTATGTGTGTATATATATATATATACACTTCTATATACACATGGCAAACCACTGTAGTAAGCAGAAAGTTGTTGAGACATGTTCATCGGGGAGACCACTGCAGTAAGCAGATAGGGAACACATATTTTGTTATCATGGCACTACTTTGAACACCATCCGCTTACTGGTTTGAAGTGGAAGATTTCTGCCTACTGGCCGTCCGTGACTATAGTTATAAGCATATAGACAGATAAAAACACTCCTGCTTTCGCTGGTAATCTCTCATCATCCTTATCCCAAGAACCGGGTCCTTGGTGTAGGGTGCAAAGCACTCAGAGATGCTATCATGGGTGAAGCGAATGTCCTCTGGAGCAGTTTTTTCTGGACCCAAAGGCATAGCTTGGCACGAGTGCCAGTCGAAAGTTTCGTTGAACCAAAATAGAAACCACCGGAATGTGCGGTCAAGAATGGTTTGCGGCTCCAGGGTTTGACTCATCCCCGTATCCCAGGTCAGCAAGAGACGAGGCTGAGTCAACAAATCTCGACCGACGTTTCTTCATGATGGGCACACTGGGATCTGCTCTTGAGGCCTCTTGGAAGAGAAGCTAGAACCTCATAATTGCAAGCATCCAAGGGGGAGACGAACCAGACAGTGCCCGACGTCATCTTCTCACGCTGCGGCAAGGGTGGCCGGAGAATGTCAGAGCTGGCGACATGAAACCTCGGGGGGGTTCAGCAGTTCACTCAAAAAGAAGGTCACAGGATGGAGAGAAATGATCTGTGACCAAAGCAGTCTTTTCCTGCAGAAGCATGGTTTTCGGGTGGAACTCCATGGGATTCGGTGAAAGAAACAAGGGTTTGGTGAAGTTGAAGGCAGTAGCTGTCCAGAAAGTCCTGCAGCCTCTTGGAAAGGTCTTTTTGGGGGCTCGTCACGTGAAATCATATTTAAGTCGAGAAGCTGAAGAGGTTGTCACAAGTGGGTAATCACTTTTGTGATCAATCTGTGTAAGAAAGAGAGAGGCAATCAGACATGCTCCTTCTGCCTTCTCTTAGACCCCCACCCATTCGAAAACCAGCCTGATCACACAACGACCCGTGCTGCAGATGCAGCAGATGCGTCTCTGAGGCTCCCGGCAAATAATCCGGGTAAGCTGTGGCCGTGTTGTACTCTTCCCGGCACTCGGGACAATTCGGAGAGTGACCTGACGGCGAGAAGGGGGAGGTCAAGTCCAGACACTCAGTGCTGGAATATCTACAGTACATACATTGATTTCGGAGGTGAATGTAGACACATATTCCATACATGGAGTGGTTGCAAATTGGATTCCCAACAAAACATTGAACAAACACGCCCTTAGTGGAGCAAGGAGCGACCTTGGCACCACAGCTCCAACTTGGCACCACAGCCGCAGCCTGGAAACCCCCAAACACACCACGCCCGCCGCTCTCGCTTCTTCCACCCACCCACCCAGCCAGACCCGACCTTTCTCCGCTGATCTGCTCGTCCAACTTTGCGCACAGCGCATGCACATCTGCACATGCGGGCACGAACGCCTCGGGCCGAGCGCGTTGAACACGTTGAACACGGCGGAGGCCGGTCTGGTGTCCAAATCCAAGGACCCCATGGGGTGCGCCCGACATGGCAGACCGACCAGTAGACCGAACGGTCTGTGTTGGTCAAGTGAGATGGTGGATCAGGGCGCCAGGTTTGGACCCATCCCTACATGGTTAACCAACCAACCAACCAACGAACCACGGTGTGGGAGACTCGAGCCTTGCGCAATGGAACACACACGACGTACCCCTGGTCCTGCCCGGGCAGGTATGGTAGGTATTGTGTACACGGTGGATACCATGCAATTGTTACGCGAATTAGAATGTGGTAAGTCACAAAAGTTTTGAGTTTTAAGGCGAATTGATGGCGGCACAGGGATCTCAATGGTATCATGGCGGCACGTGTTGGTATGAAAGGGCGGGTTCACATCAAGCGACTGGATATATGCAAGAATCGCGTGGACATCGTGATGGTCAGCATGACAGGGGTGATAGGTCAGCAAAATCCATGCCCGAGGACGCTTTCAACCGCCAAATGAATGGTTTGGACTGAGATCGGTGGCACCTGCACCCCTAATATCGGCAGGATCCTCTCAGCGATATCTGTGAGAGAAACTCCAGCTGATGGGAAGGAGGAAGAGGGCCCAAGTGTGCGACGGAGCTTCCGACCTCCGACCTCCGAATCCGTGTGAAGACCCTGGGGTGTCCGTTTCTGACAGAGTCTCTTGATTTCTCAAGATCGTTTTGTGGGGTTGACTCAGCAACACTTGATGCTGAAGCTTCCCCAGCCAGGGTAGAGATCCTTTTTAATGAAATCGGCTGCGAATTCAAGATTGATGCAAGGTCCAAGGGTGTTATAGGATTGACTCCTCACTCTTGCCGATCTAAAGGCCTGTTGGGATATCCTTTCTCTGATCGCGCCCTGTCAATCCACACCCGTAGCACGCGTAGACAGGCGAAAACCAACCAACAAACAAACAAACAAACAAACAAACAAAAACTCCAATCCCATGAGTTTCACAATCTCAAGAAGGTCAACAGAAGACATCCTTCTTTTGATGCAACAAAGGGACCTTTCATCCATCATGAGCATCGCCGGTGCAATGCTCTTCCGACCCAGGCTCTCAAAGGATTCCAGACAGACGGTGCACTGGGTCTGCGGGTGCACCTCAGCTTGTCCGACCGTCCAAACCTCTTGGATGAAGTCTGCCCCAAATATGTGAGATCCATGCAAGAAGAAATCAAAGCAAAACCAAACAACCCGCCAAACTAACTAGGAACCTCATAGCCACAGCCAATGGTCAAGGATGATTGAAATCCAACGCAACTTGATCCAGTCCGGAGTTGTGGGACCCGTCATCCACATTCGGACATGCCCACCTTCCCCCTCCCTCTGCTATGGTCCAGATGCTCTTTTGCAGCTATGCCCCCGCATCTCCTTTTGAAGGACTTCCTCAGCCGCATCCCGAACTATGCACGGCCGAACTCTAGGGGACCGATGAAGTCGTCAGCCTCAGAAAAGGCTCGAAACAGGACCTCGAACGCTCAACTGGAGGTACGTAAGTGGCCATCAAACTGGAGTAGAATGGATCAACCATGGATCACAGTTGAGCCATTTTCAGTGATGCATCCGCTTCAAGGTCGTGTCGTCTGCTCGACGCAACACTGCTCCTGGGTGCGTTTTGTGACACGAATCAGGGCGGTCATTCCTTGAAACATCCTGTTTTTGTCTTCCTGGTTGTCTCACACCTGGCACACAAACATTGTTTTGTTTCTACCATCTTCCTCTTGTTGCTGACATGGATTTGTCAGCTTGGCAGCATGCTCGGCAGCAATCCGAGTCATTTCACCACTGATCCCCACATCAGGCAAGACCACATCAGGCAAGACCACGCCAAGTCTCAAGCAAGCAATGTGCACAGACCACTTTTGCAAATGGACACTTGACTTCGTGGTCCGCCTCTTGGTGCCGCAGGCCTGACCAGCCACATCCATCATTCTCGCAAATCACCTCGCCATTCTCACACTCGTAGAGTTGATGATAGTTCAGCTCGCGCTGCTTTAGCAGTGAGCTGCACAGGCGGCAGGTCACTTGGCGATGTTCGCATTCCACTCCTCAGCAGCTCATCAAAAGCCGCTGTTCCTTTTCATCTCGATAGCTTACAAGGCTTTTAGCACAGTTGCAGTTGAAGTTGAAGTTGAAGTTGTTGTTGTTGTTGTTGTTGTTGTTGTTGTTGTCGTTGGCTCCAATTAACCTAGCTGTGGGGTTCTGTAGGATGGAGGAGCCAAAATCACTGAATTGTTGCAGAAACCTGTGATTTTGAGCATCTTAAGCCATGAATATGCTTACAATTGTTCATGTGTTCAAGTTTCTTCAAACCGCTGCGAGCTCCGAGGGGCGCTCATGGTCAGGAAGATCTTCGGCTGTGCAACGCTTCTTGCAGAGCTTGCAATTGACCTGATTCTTGATGTCACAAGGATTCATGATGTCCGTTGAACTAGCAAATTGCGTCCAACTTTAACCAATAAACCTTATCTTTTTTGAGGATGTAGCAGTTTAGATAGGTGGTTTAGATAGGTCGATCATGGAAGCTCAGCCCATTCCGAATGGAATAGGGATTTAGAGAAGAGCTCCAAATCCGGTGACTTGAACTGTTTCCAACTTCTGCAAGTCCACAAAGAAGGTTGGATTCAGTAGCCAGGTTTAGATCTGATGCAAAGTGTCATCAAGGAGAACAATAGACAATCAAGACTTTAGAGATCTGTCGTTAACACAGCCAGATTTCTGGTCCAGCTTGAAAAAAGAAATTGTCATCCTGCACCCAAAAAACACACGGAACCAGTATCCTGGATTCCCATCTCACCAACCAAATCTCTCAAATCCCTTGATTTCTGATGATTCCCATCTCCCCCTTCTTCCCCCCTTCTTTCCCCTCTTCTTCTTCCCAACAAAACCATATCGCTTCGGCACCATCCTCTGCTTGCAGTCCTTCTTCTTGTGCGCCTTCATCGCCTTCTGCACCAACTCCCCACCTCGGAACATCCGCAACGACGTGGAACGAGCACCGGACGGACGAACGTGCCGACCGGTCGTGCGGTGCCGCTCCGATCGGCAAAAGGAAAAAGCACCGAGAAAGCCGAGAAAACGCGGCGGATGAAAGGCGATGTTCGCGTTCGCAATAAGTATAGATAGAGTGTCTAGACTTCTCTCTCGCGCTCTCCCTCTCTCTCTCTCTCGTGTACTTATGTGCATGCACATATCTACCTATTAGGCAACAGGGTCACTTTTAGATCTTTTAAAATGCACTTTCAAGGATCACTTTGGCACACACTTTGTTGGGTCACTTGGGCACAGGTTGTGAAGAAAATGAAAGGGGATTCTTGGTGTCAGCTTTCTCGGGTTTCTCTTCTGTTTGCAGAGGGCTGACGTACAGTGCACAGTCACATCACCTAGACAGCTGCCACTGGTTTATCTGCCTGCGGCTGGTTTTGAGGTAGAGTCGCTCATGCAAAGGGAATGGACACCAGCTTCCTCAAGCTGGCGAATGTACAAAGAAACTGACTTCCGCGCAAGCATAGCAGCCCCACAAATGGGTGGGTCGAAGCCGGGTGGGCAAAAACAAGAAGTGATCACAATTAGACCTTGCTCAACAAGACCTCGCTTGAGATCAGTGGCAATCAGTGTGGTGCAAGTGAGCGCATGTTCAGTCTTGGATATCGAACCCCTCTATACTTCACTGAAAATGGTGAGCAATTCGCAAGGACAGCATCACAAGAATATGTGTTTCATTCAAGCACCTGCCAACCTAATGGGTGAGGTAGAGGGAAGATTCTCATCATCCTCATCCTTTTCATCATCCTCCTTTCGCATTCTCGATTTCACAACTGGTGAAGCAGCAAACTCATGGCAATCCATCCAATCGGGTCGTAGCCCTTCTTTCACAGGTCAGTCGCCTCATCCGATCCATCGTCAATCAGCAGGTGCCATTCAGCACGTTTCGTCTCGCAGCCATAGGCAATGGGTGGAAAGACGGAACAAACACGTGTGGCTAACTCTTTTTAACTCAACGAACGCAACCGAAGAAGCGTGCAAGAAAGAATAGCCATGGCATGCCATGGCTGGTATATACCTGACCACATTCGAGTAGCCACATGTCGGAGCGTGGAAAACGATCAGATTCTCTCTTGTTGGTGACGACAAGTGGTGCACATGCAAATCAAAGAACCTCTCAGCACCTCCCACCCTGCATCATTTCAACCAAGGAGCATTGTGGACATATCTGTGCCTGAGCACCCTGCTCCTCGCCAGACATCACTCCATCGAAAGGGTCTTCATTGTGCGGCGCGAGGCGAGAAAAACTGCAGAGGTGGGCCACCAGCTGAAAGGAGGAAAAGATTGCTTCTTGCTGATCCGATCAAATCGTTGATCAAGTCGAGTTTCGAAAAGACATCGAAAACCACTGCTGTGAAGTGTGTCAATGGTTTTCTCTCCAATAATGAACATGCTTTCACAGCAGCACACTTTGACTCACGTTCATGTAAGCCATTCAACTGCTGCTGATCTTTGCTGCGGCCAACAGGAAGCTTCCAAGCGTCCTTTGATTGGACCGTTGGTCATAGGCCAAGGGTCTTGGGCGGCTGTCAATGTCAAGTTTCTCAGCCTTTCTACCCACACATAGAGCCTTGACCTGATCTATGAAGCAAGCAACACGCATGACACAGCAGTGTTGGAACAAAACTCCATGGTAATCTCCATGTTTCGTCCTTCAGCAAATTCGATAGCCCCAAAGCAAGGCTCACTATGCTCAATCCAGGTTCTTTCTAGAGCATGTCGCATAGGCAGAATTCAATCCAGTTTTTTCCGCAACTAGCACAAAAACCGTGCAACTTATGCGTTGCGACACTTTGCCAGAGCAAACAGGCGTCCTGATGTCAAACAGCATCACAATGATGTGAATGGGAAGGATACTTGTGTTGCATTGCACCCTCAGGTTGCATGCCATCTGCCTGTTATATTGGCACGGCACCTATGTTATAGGCCTTTGCCAGATGTAATCATGGCTCCGGCTTTTTCGGGCATGTAATACCACTGTGAGCAATTCATGTGCTTCTTGATGGGATGTGCTTTGGTGCTTCCAGTGATGGAAAACCAGCGCATTTGTGGTCTTTGCTATGCTCCAGCAGGGAATGTCGCAAGAATTACCAAAATGTCAAAGCCTGCTTTAAGAGAAATCCTTTAGAGTAATGAGAAAGACATCTCGATGCATGGCCTGATTACGCAACTTCCTGTACACAAAACTGAGCGCAACTTTAGACAATGGCTCAAGCGGCTGACAAACTGCCCACAACAAAAGCAACCAAGGATTGAAAAATAATGCCTTTGGCCTCCCTCCTTTCCTCAAGGCTCAGCAACTTCAGCAAAACTGAGAGGTGCTCCAGCAGCACAAGGTCGCGCACTTTCTTGTCTCTTGCTACAACACGGCTGTCTCGGCCACGGCAAAGCATGCAAATAGACTGACCATTACCAGTCAGCTGCCTTGCCAGGATGCCATGCATTTTCATGGCATGGCATGGAACTGTGGATCCTGTTCCGCTTCGGAAGTTCTGACCCAGTCCCATCTCTACTGTCCATCTCTGTGAAAAGGTCTCTTTTGAAGAACAAGGCCAATAACTTAAGTAGTTTCGGTGATGGCTCTACTTGGCTTACAAGCTGGCACACAAAAAAGGCTATATAAAGCAAGAAGGGAACAGTGTTCAAGCAGCAAAAAGTTCACACAATGGTCTGCCTCTGCAACAAATGCGTACCTTGATAAAAAGCTTTCCTATGGCCGCTTTCGGGCCGTCAACGAACACAAACAAATGTTCACACAAGCGTGAAAACTATTCATCCATTCTTCAAAAGAAACCTGGCCACACGGAAATGTGCAGGAATCATATGAAAATATAGATCTATGATTCCTGAACGCTTGAACTTGGAAAATCAAGCTGGCATTCACCCTTGGATCCCTACAATGTAATCCTCGCCATGATGGATTTCCAAGAATAAAAATATGCATAGGTGCCATCTGTCAAGCCTCCGAACATGTACTCCCTGTCAACAAAGCTTCCGGATACATCGAGGTTGAGCCAGGCAACAACGTTGGCCTCCATGTCTAAACGGTATAAGGCACCCCCACCCTCGAGGAGGTAAAGATACGTGCTATGCACAAACGCGCTTGACTGTACAAAATACCGCTGAATAGCGAACGCAGGCCAAGTATGCAGAATGTCTGATACCTGCAAGGTTTCGAGGTCAAATGCCAACACTGCGGTTGACCCTCCTCCGCCATAGAAGTAGGCCCGGCCCCCCGAACGGATGCAACCTTGACCAATGTCGCTATTCTCGGGCAGTGGCATTTTCTCGGGATTTGACAATGTGGCCTTGCTCAACCGCCAAAGATGATTGCGACCTCCGAGGCAAAGGTACAGATGCTGGCGATATTCAAAGCCCCCGTGCATCCCAGTTGAGTAATCATCGGCGTGAAACATGCTCTCCAAATTCAAACTGTCCACGTACTGATAGGGATCCAAGGAGATGCGAACCAATCTCCTGGGACTGGGATTCTTGACCTGTATATAGCCATGGGTGCTGCCTGCAAAACCACCCTTCAAGAATTCCCGCATCTCTGTGGATTCCACATTGAGCAAGTCCAAGACTGTTGGAGCAGCACCTCCACGTGGGTCCACTTTTATTACTCGGCCGAATCGGGACTCATAAGCGTAGGTGTCGCAGAAGTACATGTAGACCGAATCAGACAAACAAAAGTCCAGTGTGTTGAAGGTGGGGTCGTAGTCAATCAATGATGTTTCCTCTTGTATATTGCCAAAAGCTGCACCGACGCCAAACTTCACAATGTAGTGGTTGTAGTATTCCATAGTGAGGGGACCGGAATACACCATGGGTTTGCCAACTAGCAGGCAGCCTTGGGTGTTCCCTTCAACTGCGAATCCACCATAAATGTTTTAGAGCCCATTCAACTGCATGCGAGTCACTGTCTTCAGCTCGAATTTCACCTGTCATTTCAGAAGCATATTGTAACGGCGATCTGTGGGATGAGTTGAATGTGAATATGTACGTGATCACCAGGGGGTTGAACATAAAGAATGAGGATGTATCAACACAACATATACATGTTTCGTGTTCCCTCGATGTTTCTGGAAACACCGTTAAGGCAAAGGGGATCAAAACCCGGATGTATGCACGGGAGGACGCACTCCTACGCACATCTACATTCGTTGTGCATTTGCTGCCATTTTGTGAACAAGGGGGACAAGGTCAACAAAAATCTAACAAAATGTATGAAACAGACGGGGGAGAGACCGGTCGCCAAATGTATGCGCACCATGGGGTACAATGCTGCAATACCGGCAATCACGTTTCCATTTTCCATTTCCATGCGCGGCGAGAGCAGTCAAGCGCGCCGCCTAGCACGCATAAATTCTTAATTAGCCTGTGCCTGCATAGTCGAGACCGTGAGACTCGTGCTCAAAAGTACTTACCGACAGTGACTGCATCCATCTAAACTGATCGGGGGCCTCACCCAAAGCTTCGCAAGGGGGCCTCGACCGATACAGAAAGAGTTGCGCAATCATGGCACAAAGTTGTGGGGTGTACTCCTTGAGTTTTGCTGTACGGAAGGAGCCACCGCTCTTGCCAATCGAAGAGGCCTTAGGCCGTTCTGAAGTCCTACACTGCAAGGCTATGTTATGAGCTACCGCATCATCTATCCCGCTCAAAAGAAACCTCGTCGGCTTAGGACTTTCCTGGTCGTAATGTCCCTGTTCAAGTCGAAGCTCGACAAAAAGACCAGTCTGCCTGAGCCATGTCAGTACGGACGTTCTCCATATTGTGGGAGAATTCCGCTTGCTGGGGTTGTGCAACTCCGGATCATCGGGGTGTTCTAGCAGCGAGAATTTCCCTTTCGAAGCTTGTACGAGGCAAATTCGAAGCGCGAAAATCATGAGCCTATTGCCAACGTCCACTTGTTGGAATTCTCGCGGCGTCAAATCTAGCATCCCCCAGGGTGAGGTTGCCGTCCTCAGGGGTCTGGGTCCGGTTGCCGGCGCCATGCCATCGGCCTCCCTGGCAACGGACCATGTCTCGCACGGCGGACCAGCGAGCAGGCCCTCAGCCAAGCCCATGCGCGCAACCCGCAACCAGAGCTCCTGTGTGTCCTCTTTGAGGAGATCACAGTATTCTCCAGAAACCATAATGTCAAGCGACAACACCCAGAGCGCAACTCCTGATTCTGGTTCGTGTGCTTCTAGTGCATCTTGCAAATCTCCTCTTCGTCTTCTACCACTAAAAAGATTCAAGAAGTATTTTTCTCTAAACACTCTTCTGGGACTACATGCCAAGATTCTCTGACAAAACAATGCCTTTCTATCCGCCTCGGTCTCAACCCGGCATTCTTCCTCGGATAAGAGGCTTCCTCTGAGAGCTGCAAGTTCATGGAGGACTCTCCGGCCTGACCTACGTAGGATCCGCCTCAGCACCGAATGCGTCCAGCCACTTCTCAAACGTCCTCACAACATCCGGGAAAGGCATTGGTCTGTTGCAGGTTTCTCTGAGTCTGGCGCACAAATCATCCTCAAATGCGGCACTATCGACAGAAACCGAAAAATGTCGAAGGGTCTCATCAAGATCTTGGCATAGCTGAGCCTCGTCCCTATTCGTGGAATCGTCATGTTGCACAGCATCATGTCCTAAGTACACCCATGGCATGAGAGCATGGACTGCATTTCCATGTTCCTGCCGGCTCCCGCCTGAATGCCAGGCAAAATTGCGGCAAACAGCGCTATACTGTAGGTGATGCTTCAACTTCTCTTGGCAGAAATACTCCTTCGCACAGACAGGGCATGAAGTGCCTTGCGCAGCCTGACCTGCCATCGACACATAGGAGTGCCTGTGGTAGGAGTGTAGGAACCAAGCTCGCTTGTTCTGAAACGGCTTATCACAAAGAAGGCAGTAGTGTTGTGTATGGAACTCATACCCTGTGATCGTCCCTCCAATGGCAGTGATCTGCTTCAGAATGTCTGCATGGGCTTGCTTGACTCTAGACTCACAGACTCGAAACGTCGTGTTTCTCTGCACTGCCCTGCGGACAAATCTCTTCCATGCGGTGGGCGATTTGCGGGCTAACTCTTCCCACGCCGACCATAAGTATCCCGGTCTCGCTCTAGGGCTCGCCACACCCATTGCATGGACGATGCATATGCTTGCCTTGCCTTTGGGTCTTGCTTCAGCAGACTCCAGACCGCATTGGGGGCATGCACTATCATAGAACCTACACGTCGAACCCTGGCGGCATGTAATCTGTCTACTGGCACTGGCAGCGGA